ATCCCAGGGGGGGAATAAAAAAAAAAAAAATTCTCCCAGTTAAAAATAAGGAAAGAAACTTCGCTCTCCTTCATTTTCTGAGAGCATTTACTTTAGAAAAACATATAAATTCTTTCTCTCTCTTTGAAATGTATGTAAATCTTTTGAAAAGTTAAGCAGGTCTTGCCAGGGTTAAGACCTACAGGCATCCCTTTGAAATAGAAACCATCCAGGAAGATGAGCCTAAACTTAATTCAGAGAAGATGCCTCACACCCAGCTGCAAATGACTCCCTGTCAGAGAGATTTGCAAGTTTATTTTTCCTTTGGCTAAAGCCAATTAGCAAACACAGAGGGACACCACAGTTACCATAAACCAGCTGCTTATATTGGGTAGAAGGACAAAGATTACATGGGAAAGTAGGAATTATAGGCATGGGGAAGTAGGCAAGGTGGGCTGGGGGTTGAAAAGGGCTCTACGGGACAGTGACTCCTCAGGGACCAGATTACAGGCAAGGTGGGCTGGGGCTACAACGGGCAGGTGCTCCGGGATTCCATTGTTTCAGTGCTTTTTCTAATTAGAACAGAATAATCACAGTTAACAGAACATGATTAATATTTCTTATAATTATAGCTAACAATCACAGTTAACAGAGCATGATCAGCATCTCTCCCCTAACAATTTCCCAGATCATTGGTTTCCAAACTTTCTGAAAAACATGGCCTCTTAATGTCAAAAAGTTAGGAGAACTTGCGATTTTAATCTCTGTGGATGACTAAGTGACAGATGGTTAGAGAAAGAAAAACTATTATTAATTCTATCTTATTTTAATTGAATTTGAAATTTGCCATTGAATAAAAGTCCGCTTTACAAAGTGCTTACTCTGTACCAAGTTTACTCTAAGAACTTTTCATGTATGAATCCATTTATTCCTAGGAAATAGCTTTCATTATTATCTCCATCTTACAGATGGAGAAACTGAGGCCCAAGCTCACGCCGCTAGGTAATATTGGAATAAATGCTCATATACCATTCAACCCTGTCTCTGCTTAATTGACTCAAGTGGTGACAGGCAGCTCGGACCCATTGCCCAGTTTCAAAATTAGATTTAAAATAAGTCCCCATATCTACCATCTCTCCAACCTCAGCATTTTACAGACAGTGGGATGGCAGAGACACAGGGGTTTAGCTTTGCTATTTCAAGACTTGAAACTGCGCGATATTCAAGTCTGTGTTCCATGGAGTGTGGGTCTGTCCATCACAGACACCCGATAAATGAAGAAGGAAATCAGAGCAGGGCAAGTCTGCAGGCCTACGTCCCTGGAGAGTCCCTGTATCAGGGCCCAGCAGTGGCTGGCATCTGGGATTTGCACCTCCCAGATTGGCTATTTTTTTTTTTAATCTTCTGGAGTTTTAATCCCAAAGACAACAATAGGGTTTCCCTTGATTTCAACAAAGAATCCATTTGGTGGCAGCATAATACTGTTTATAATTCCCTTGGCTTGCTAACTTCCAAGCTGTGTTTGGTTCTAAAAAAAAAAAAATACAGATTTTCATTCTGTACAATTTTCTGTACAAAGCGACTTCACTGATGTTTTTTGTTATCACATTTCAAAATTGCACAATCTGTGCACAAGATGTCACTTGCACTACCCACCAAGTACTAATGCGCTGATTCACATTTGCCTTTTGTTCTGTTACCTGCTCCCACCTCCTTACCCCAGAGAGGGGGAGGGATGAAGCTCCAAGAGCAGGGCCCAAATCACACGTTCTGAATGCCAGGAAAATGCACCCGAGAGAGGTGTCCTCGCTCCAGCAAGCCCTGGGCATTGAGTTCTGAGCTTTGCCTGTGGAGGGAGTCACTCTGGGGATGAGCTGGTAAAAGGACAGGGGGCTGGCAGGAGAGTGTAGCTGGGGACAAAGGAAGAAAGGAAGGTAAAGGCCCCCTGGGAAGCCGGCCGGGCCAGGAGCAGGCTCCCTGGGTCACAGCGGCTGACTCCAGCTCCTTCCCTGACCGGCCTCCTCGCTGCCCAGATCGCAGGATAAGGGCCCCTGGGCACGTCTCGTCTCGGTTTACAGAGCTTCTGTCCTACGTCCCTGCCGCCTCCGCCCTTTGCCTAATCCCGGAGTGTGATAGGGATCGGAGTGTCTCTGACACTCCTGTTATCTCCTCCCTGAATTCCTGCTCCTCAAGGTCGTTACCTCCCCAGGCTCCTCCTCTGGTCTTGGCCTGGCTCCCGTCCTGGGCCAAGGTAAGCCTCTTCCTTCCAGATGGCTGCCTAGCTCCCTACCTTCTCCCACGCTCAGAGTCGGGCATTATGGTTGCCCCCCCAGGAAATGTGTTTTTTCTCCCCCACCACACACCAACTACTACTCAGGTGCTCATTGCAGCTGCAAACAACCTCAGCATCTCTGAAGAACTCAGAAGGCACTGAGGAGAATATGCAGGCTCTGAGCGGAGGCCTAAACAGGTGCTCCGGGTCCTGCCCGCCCCGTCTGGGAAGACATGTGGTCCAGTTTCTGTGCTGGGAGAGGCTCTCCTGTGGGAAGACATGTGGTCCAGTTTCTGTGCTGGGAGAGGATCTCTGGATCCATGTCTTTGTTAATTTTTATGAGCCTCTCTTTGTCTAATGGAGGAAGGACACGAGGGGAGGGGGGAGTTCATGAAGTAGTTTCCAGCTTCAGATTAGCTGTGTCCAACCCTGGGAGGAAAGAGCTTTGGAGTTAGGGTGCGACTTTGGTCCCCTCCCAAGCAGCTGTCAGCGATGACACCAACTCCATCCAGGAATGAGCGATGGTGGAAATACCTGGAGGGGGCTTGTGCCCTGTGGGTGCCTGTGACTTAAGGGGGTGCGGGAGAGAGCACTGGCCTGGAGGCAGGGCCCGCGTCCTGGGTTAGCTCCGCCTGGCAGTGACCAGGCGCAGGCGCTACTCTTGCTACCCTTGGTGTTCCTGTTTTCTCATCTAAAAATTACATGGATTGGAAATTTTGGAAAGTTTAGTGGAGCTAATATCCCTTTTCACTCTTGTATTCTAATATTCTAACATCTCTTCTGGCATTTTATCATTTGCACAGTACCCATGGGGACAGATGCAAGCTTCCAGGGAAAGTCCCCAAAGGTGACTTCTCTGAAAGCAGTTCCTGGGAGGAAAGATAGAGCCGAAACCTCTCAAAGGTGAGTTTGAGT